TATATGTGACACAGCACCAGAGTTAAGTTAGGGTTTTTCAAAATTTTGACACGCCGAGCTCAAAAGGTTCGCCATCGCTGGTTTAAACTGTTCAACCCTGGCTGGGTAGAACAGTTTAAACAGTTTAAAGAGTTCAGTTGGTTATACCATTGTTTAGATATGCAAAGGTTTCAGGTTCAATTTCTGGTCACGGCACATACAAGAATCAGTGAATGTTGTCCAACCGGTGTGGCTCAGTGGTTGAGCATCAACCTATGAACCAGGAAGTCACGGTTCGATTCAGAGTCAGGGTACATACCCAGATTGAGGGCTCAATCCCCAATGGGGGTTGTGCAGGAGGCAGCCGATCAATGATTCTCTCTCATCCCTGATGTTTCTCTCTCTCCCTCTCCCTTCCTCTCTGAAGTCAATAAAAAATATATGTTAAAAAAGAATCAATGAATGCATAACTGAAACAAATTAATGGTTCTCTCTCTCTTTCTCTCTCTCTCCTTTTCTCCCTTCCTCTCTCTCAAAAACCAATGGAAAAAATATCCCTGGTTGAGGATTCACAAGAGAAACAAAACAGAGTTCCAGAGAGAGTTGGATTGAGAGATGCTGATTCTGTCAAGACCAGAGTCACGGTGGACTCTGAAAACAGCCTGAACGGAGGAAACAGGGGAGTACGCCCACCATCCTGTCCCCTTTCTGATGCTTAAATACACTCACCTCGAGCAGCATGCAGGCATTAATTTATTTTTTTAATACATAAATTATTTATTTTTTTAACCTCCCTGGGTTAGTGTTACCACTTCCTGTGATGCTGTAGTCATTTCAAAATAAACCTTAAATGAAGCCCCAGGTGATCCAGGTGTGAGAACCAGGGAGGACCGGCTGTTGTTGAAGAATCACAGTATTACCACCACCTGGGGGGCTCAGGGCACTAGCGTGCAGGGACCATGCCCAGAGTCTCTGCTTCCGTAGGTTTCATTTTTAATTTTTTTCCAAATGCTCACCTGAGGATATATTTTCCATTGACTTTTGTTTTTTTTACTATAGATTTATTGATTACAGTGAGGAAGGAGAAGGAGAGAGGGATAGAAGCATCAATGCTGAGAGAATCATGGATTGGTTGCCTCTGGCACGGTCCCTGCTGGGGATGGAGCCCACAACCTGGGCATATGCCCTTGAGTGGAATTAAACCCTGGACCCTTCTATCTGCAGGCCATGCTCTATCCAGTGAGACAAACCAGCCAGGACCCCATTGATTTTTAGAGAGAGTGGAAGGGGGGGGGAGAAAAATTGACATGAGAGAGACACATGGATTGGTTGCCTCCTCCCTGTGCCCCAACCGGGGCAGAGATTGTACCTGCAACCGAGGTACGTGCCCTTGACTAGGAAGTGAACTGGGGACACTTCGGTTTGAGGCTCTAACTACTGAGTAAACCAACAGGGCTGCTTCAGTAGGTTTTCATTGCCAACAAGTTGCCCAGCTATGTGGATGCATGTGGTCGGGGGCCACTGCTGGAGAAGTGGTCCCCACTCACCCTCCTCCTGAGTCCTAACTCTCCCCCCCAGGACAATGTCCCGGTGTGGAGACCACGGTGGTGACCAGCAGACCTCACAGACCCACAGCAGGGTCCATCCCGTGTGTGCTGGGCGTCCAGGTGGGTGTTCCAGCCACTGAAGTGGATTCACTGATTTCAAAGAGACTTTGCAGACCTGGAGTCACCACGGAGTAGCCACAATGGTTACCACACTGGGCAACCAGAGAGCTCTGACCCAGCAGAGTCAGCCAAACACAAGAACCCCATGGGAAGCCACACACCACAACAAGCAAACCCTTATCTCTGGGTGTGTCCACCAAGCCCGGGTGAGGGAGAGGCTCCGTTGGTTGAGCATCATCTTGTGGTGCAGCAAATTGCCGGTTCCATATTCAGTCAGGGTACAAGCCTGGGTGGCAGGTTCAATCCTCAGTCCACGTGCTACAGGGAGCAACCACCATCTCTCTCTCTCTCTCTAACTCTCTCTCTCTCTCTCTCTCAAAAAAAAACGATGCTCAGTGAAATGCAAATATCAAATAAAGGAATAATTCAGAACACACACACATCTAAAAATGCTGTGGCCCTGGATGGTTTGGCTCAGTGGATAGAGCTTTAGCCTATGGACCGAAGGGTCCCACGTTCAATTCCATTCAAGGGCACATGTGCGGGTTGCAGTCTCCAACCCCCGTAGGGGGCGTGCAGGAGGCAGCAGATCCATGATTCTCTCTCATCAATGATGTGTCCATCTCTCTGTTCCTTCTGCCTTCCCCTCTGAAATCAATACAAATATATATATTTCTTTTTAGAAAATAAAAAATGTGGTGTATCTGACATCCACATTGCACTGGGTATTCTGTAGGGAATCTGGCCACTCTTCTGGGACCTCCCTATTTTACAAGGAAATAAAGGACAACAGAGGACAAACAAGGGATAAGGGTTGGATCGTGAAATATTTATTGAAACAACTAGCAAGACTGACAGAGTATGGGGCCAATAGGGAACAGGGTCAGGGCGGGTGGTGGTTAAGCCGGGAGAACTGACTGCCCCCCCTCCCCCAGAGCTTCTGTCTCATCCACCAGATGGTCCATGTAGTCCGTCACTCTGGGGTGGTGGTTGTAGCGATTCTTCCCGAACTGCGTCTGCTGTGCAAAGTAGTCGAAGTAGTCCTAGCGCCCAGACTTCTTCCACATCTTCCTCATGTAGTAGAACGCCACACACTCCGCCACCGTTCTGGTCTTCACCCAGTTCTTCTGTATACGATAAAAGTCTTTTCCAAAGATCATGAGTGCATGTTCAAAGCTCCGGATTTCTTCTTCTGTCCACGCAGTCATTCCCTCCTGAGATGCCTTTCCTCTGTGGCAATACCTCTGGAGCGCCTCCTTGATGTTATGGTCGCACCTGAGCAGCTCATATAATGCCTGCTCATTGTCCCTGGTGAGTGCTCCGGCCGAAACCCCATCCACCGTTTTCTCATTTCCAGTTCTGAATGCGGCCTCGACAAGGTACTCCTTCACTTTGCTCTCTGCAACCACACCAGGACGCCAAAGGAGCTGGTCTCCATCTTCAGATGCTTTCTCATCATCATCATCATCATACTCTCCAAGATAAGGGGGGGATCTCGGCCTGATATTGTAAACCGATCCTTATTTCCTTCCTCAAATCTTCAGGTGAGTTACCACTGTCTGTTTCAACATCTTCAATCTCTGATTCTTTATCTCCTTCACAAGTAGTATTTGAGCGCAAAGGCCTCGGGAAGAAGTCGGAAGCCTCGTGGGAAGCCAGAGACGGCATCAGGTTGTCTGCGGAAGGCGGCGACTCCTCCTCATAACCTGACAGCAGGTCTTTTGCTATTTCCTCCTTGTCCAGTGTCATGTCTGGCAGCTCATCTGCAAGTTCACTTGGGGAGCTGTGGGAACTGGGCTCCACCGCGGCGGGCAGCACGGGCTCAGAGCCGTAGAAGGCCAGCAGGTCTTCCAGAGGCATGCCTCCTTCCTTTTCTAAGTCTTTAATTTCAGAGCTGAAGTTTTTACCCTCATCCATCATCTCCTCTTCTTCAAGGGTTCTTTCATTCTCTCTCTCTCTCTCTCTCTCTCTCTCTCTCTCTCTCTCTCTCCCTCAGACAGACAAGTTACCCCAAGATTCCCCTTCGATGTAGAGTCTACAGTACAAAGTGAATGACAAACACACTCCTAGGCACGGGGAACGGACTGATGGTCGTCACAACCGGGTCTGAGGGGCAGGGGAGGCACTGCAAGGCTCCCTAAGATGCACCCCCATCGCACCCCCCAAAATAAAATAGAATCCGGTCAAAATTCGGACAGTGGCCTAGACTGAAGAGCGCTGGTTTAAAACAGAAACCACGCCCTGTGCGTGAAGGGGGACCAGGGGGACCCCTGGTTTCCACACGATCTCAGAAATGATCCACAGCGCACACACCCGGGTCTTTAGAGATCAACCTCCATGCATCCATCCGTCCGTCCAACCATCCATCCACCCACCCACCTATCCATCCATCCATCCATCCATCCATCCATGCATCGGTCCTCACTCCCTTCCAAACCCCGGGTCTCGGAAGCCCTCACCCCACTCAAAGCCTCCGCATTGCCCACACCCGCAGCTCCTGCAACTCGGACTGGCGAACTCTGTGCCAGGCGCTGACACCCACCTGTTTATATACCCGCTCCAGGCATCACTTCCTGTTCCCGCCCCGCCCTGTGATTGGTTAGAGACCAGGGTTGATCCATTTTTCATAATCCGCTCACACGTGGTTTCTGGGAGAGAAACGCCTGGGGCCGCATGGGGCGTGTTGGCGGATGAGCTGCTTAGCACGTGTCTGAAGGGTTTGAAGGACCCAGACACACAGACCCGGCCCGGGCGGATGTGGCTCAGGGATACCAGAGCGGGCCTGGATGCCGAGGGGTCAAGGAGGGTCGCAGGTTCGGTTCCCTGTTTGGGCACATGCCCTGGTTTCGGGTTCAAGCTCAATAGGTTCAATGTTTCTCCCTCGCCCCCCTCTCTTTCTGTCCCTAGAAGTAATTTTAAAAGAAAATAATTTATTTTTTTTCTTAAAAATAGATTTTTATTGATTTCAGAGAGGAAGGGAGGAGAGAGAGAAAAACATCAATGATGAGAGAGAATCATTGGCTGCCTCCTGCATGTCCTCTACTGGGGATTGAACCCCAACCTGGGCATATGCCCTGACTGGGAACCTCCTGGTTCATAGGTCAACGCTTAGCCACAGCTGTCTTTTCATTTTGTTGATGGTTTCTTTTGCTGTGCAGAAACCTTTTAGTTTGATGTAGTCCCATTTGTTTATTTTTTCGTTTGATTCCCTTGCCTGAGGAGGTATATCAGAAAAAATATTGAGCCCTCGCCAGTTTGGCTCAGTGGAGAGAGCATCAGCCTGTGGACTGAAAGGCCCTGGGTTCAATTCCAGTCAAGGGCACATACCTTGGTTGCAGGCTTCTCCCTGGCCGGGGTTCTGGTCAGGGTGAGCCCTCACCAGTTTGGCTCAGTGGAGAGAGCATCAGCCTGTGGACTGAAAGGCCCTGGGTTCAATTCCAGTCAAGGGCACATAGGTTGCAGGCTTCTCCCTGGCCGGGGTTCTGGTCAGGGTCTGTGCAGGAGGCAGCCCGATCAGTGGTTCTCTCTCATCACTGATGTTTCTGTCTCTCCCTCTCTCTTCCACTAAAAAAAAAAGCAGCAGTAATAGCTAGCTTGCACTATTCAAAGCAGGTGTATCGGTCAGCTGCTGCTGCATAACAGGTTGCCCCAAACGTAGTGGTTTAAAAATAAACATGTAGCATCTCACGCAATCTCTGTGGGTTGGGGTCTTGCAACAGGTCTGGAACCATGTCTCAGGAAGCTGCAGGTAAGATGTCAACTGACGCTGTCGTCCCCTGAAGGCTGGGGCTGGAGGGTATGAGGGGGCGCCCTCATGGGCCTCACATGGGGTGGCGGAGCGAGCACCACCCAGCACAGTAGCCAGCTTGGATCAGAGCTGGTGATGGGACTCGGTGAGTGGTGGAAGGTGGAGCGGGGACAGAGGGGGCAAAAAATCAAGGCCATCGCTCAGGCGTCTCAACTCAGAACGTGGTGTCTCGTTTCAGGGACCAGCGATGCGAGCCCCTCGGGACGTGATGGAAGGCTCTGGGGTCGGCCTTCAAAAGGAAGATGGTGGCATGATGGCTGTGGGTGAGCAGCAGACCCTTGCCCCAACACAGCTTTCTCCCCAGCCCAGCGCGGGTCCCCCTCCTGCCCCTCACTCATTTCTCAGTGTGCGTCCCTGGCCTCCTTGCTGTAGGCCCCAGACCCTGCGCTGGGCCCCGCCCTGGAGGGCAAAGTGGAGGAGGGGGGTAGGCTGGACAGACAAGAGCGCCCGCCGGTGACATGCCCAGGGGTGGTTCTGGCCCGAGAGCTGAAATCCCACCACACCCCAGAGATGCGTGGCAGTGCCCACATTCTGTAGCTGCCCACATGCGTGCAGGCACGGGTAACTCACTGAGATTGGATGCTGGCAAAGGCGGGGTGGCACCAGGCACTCTGACCCGAGCCTTGGGACCCACACCCTCAGCTGGTTGCACGAGTCCCCGTTTCATGTCTCATTGGCTCCGACTGAGTCAAGTTCTTCCTGACATGGCACTGTGGCCAGCTGAGCAGCACCCTGTCCCGAGCCCAGGACTGACACACGGTGCTGGGACTGGAGCCGGCCCCGTCCAGGCCACACGCGGGACGGTGAGGAAGGGAAATCGGGTGAACCTGTGGGAGAAGGGGCGATGGAGGCAGAGACCTGGGACAGCCAGCACAGCAGAACGCTATCCTGGTGCCGGGAGAGGGCTGTGGTCCTAACAGCAGCTTGAGGGTCATATCAAGGTCGAATGTGGAGGCAGCAGGATGGAGGCCCGAGCAGGGAGGACCCGGGGAGTGTCACAGGACAGGGACCTACCCATCCACCCACCTACCCATCCATCATTCCTTCATCCACCCACCTATCCATCCCCCCATCTGTCTACCCTCCATCTACCTACCATCAGTCCATCCATCCATCCACCCACCTACCCTTCCATCATCCACCCATCCACTCACCTATCCAGCCACCCATCTGTCTACCCTCCCATCTACCTACCATCAGTCCACCCATCCATCCATCCACCTATCCAGCCACCCATCTGTCTACCGTCCATCTACCTATCCTCAATCCATCCACCCACCTACCTACCCATCCTCCATCCTCCCACTTACCCACCAATCATCCCTCCATTCACCGATCCATTCATCTAACATCCATCCATCCATCCCCTCGCATTTATTCATTTATCCACCCATTTTCTCCTCCATTCTTCCATCTACCCGCTAACCCTGTCGTCCACCATGGGTTTGCCCTTCCACGTCTCTTCTGTGACCTGTACCACTCCCCGTCCCTCTCTGCCCCCCACACCCCCGCACACCCTTTTGCAGGTCTGTGTAGCGGGCACTGACTCTGCAGCAGGCGCCGCTATGGGAGTCGCAGGGATGAATGAATGAGAACCCCCTTCCCCAGCGCTGCCCTTCCTGCCCCCGACA